TGGCCTGAAACAGATTTCCAGTTTGCTGACAAATTCCAAACATTTTCAGAACAGAAAATATTTTTTGATTTTTTTTTTAAAGTTTGTGGGCCAATCTGAAAAACCAATTATCTGTCCAGCTCTACTAGACAGTACTGCTTGTACTCTATCTCTAAAGACTCTGTATTGTCTTCACTCAGACTGCTCACAGGAATGGAGATCCACACAGGATAGGGTAAACTAAACAGGGTTTATTTACAAGAGCATTTATATACAAATTCATATTCTGGCCTAAGCAGCCCAGCTCACTGCGTTGGCATACCTGCTGTCTTGCTCTTGCTGTCTGTCTCTCAGAGGTGGCCAATACAAGAGAGTCATTCCCCGTGCCTGTCTTAAAGGGAGAATGCACTAGTTCTCTAACCACGCTTGAAGACCATACAGAGTGTTTCTGCTTTGATCTTGCAGTTCTATAGTTCTGTTTCCAAGAGAGTCCTGTCACTCCCACTTTCTGGAATTTCTGTTTCTTCAGCATGTCCCTCCACTGAGTTGATACGATTTTTGGAATGGTTTTTCTGGTGGTTGGGTCATGTTCTACATCTTCGCAGCTTTTTATTGGTGAAGGCTGATGTGTTTGGGAGGTAATTTTTACCTCTTATTTAAAAAAAGCAAACAAAAAAACCCACAAAAACCTTTTTCCTTGATGGCATTTGTCTTTGTTCTTTCAGCCATTTTAGTAGTTACTATATAATGTTTTCCTTTGGACATCCTTGAGCTCATTGCTTTCAAGGAGTAAGAATTTTGCACAGATATCTTCAGAGGACAGAAAATGACTTAGATTCCATTGTGTTTCATTAGAGATATAATCTTGCAAGATTCTCACTCTCCCATCTCCCCTCAGAGTTTGGAGTGTGGTATATTTGTTCATTAGTTACTGATTATGTTATGTATGTACATGTACTGAGTTTATTATTTCTGCTTTTGAGGCCTGATTTTTCAAATAGATGGTGATTGGCTTAATTTGAGGGAGGTCAGTCACAAACTAATTGTAATGTTCAAGCCAGTAGTTGTAGGTGCAGGTAAGAAGTGTGTGGAGGAGAGGTTGGCTCACACCCTTAAGAGACAATAGTACTTTTAGGCAGTTTCACCTATATCAAACTTAGATGCTGAAACGCAGGAGTGAGAATCTTGCAAGATGATATATTCCAAGAATCAGAACCCTTTACTACTTATGAAATTCATTTTAGAGAGAATTAACTGGATTAATGAAAATTCTGAGGGGGGGAATAATTAGTTTTTTGACTTTACAGAGAGCTAATTAATTTTGACTAAAACATTTTTGTATTAATGTTTTTTAAACTGGTACAATTATATAACTAAAAGAGAGAGCGAGTGAGTGTGTGTGTGTGTGTGTGTGTGTGTGTGTGTTTCCTGTGCCAGAGAGAATTTATTCCTTTTCTCTCAAATGTGGAATCCACACTTCAGAATACAGTGATATACAGGATGGACAATTTTCAGCCTCAGGTTGATGACAAATTTAAGATCAGATGCCTCCTTGAGCCAAGATGGCTAGAATTGGTTACTGTGTGATGCAGCAGAAAGGGCAGATTTCCAATTTTTCATTAGAATACAGAACTTCTTGTCCTACAAAAAATATTTAAGTATCAAGCCTAAAATATTGTCACATGGTATGAAAAGATATTTTAAGGTCTGTGTGTATTTCAAGGATTATTTTTTTAAAATTTCCTTTCCTTCAAAGCCTGTTTAGTTAAACTCAGGCTGCTTGGAGATCTTGGTTTTACAGGAGAGGGTTATGAAAACTGGTTTCAATGAAAGTTTAACATTGTAAGACATTTCTAAATGATCTTTTCCGTAAAATGGCGAATTATAGGGGCATTCCCACTAATTGAATATGGTGCTTGTGATGTCAATCTACAGAACTATGTTGAAAAGCTTTGTCCATTGGAGAGGCATGACAGTTCTCATACAAAGGTGATGTCATTGCTGTACTCCAGTAAGAGAATTTACCTCCCAGCTGCCTCACTTCCTCTGCCACCACTGCAAAGAGCAAATCAGACTTTATATTTGTGTCCTCAAGACTAGGTTTTTCCTTAAGTAGTTTGCATAGAGTAGTATACGATAGTTTACTTGTCCCTTTTGGCATCATAAGGCCTTCAAGAGGTGTGGTGATCATACCAGAGACTGATACCCACATCCATTGCCTTCTGTGTCTGGATGAGACTTAGTAACTCAGTGCATTTTTTGCCACATCTTCACTCCCCGTACCACAAGGAGGAGACACTTGAGATTTATTGGCTTGGATAAAATTAAAATAGTGACTATTAAGGCTCATGTTTTATGGTATAAACTGATCACAGGCAAGAGTCAGAAAGAAATTACCCATGTATGGTATAGTATTGTGCAAATAAGTGAATGCTGAGTATTTACACCTACCTCTGAACCATCTGGCACTGGCTACTGTCAAACAAGATGTCTGTCCTTTATATTCTTAATTAATATAGCTCTCTGGTATAAGAATCTATTCTGTACCTTTCCCCCCATAAAAACAATATATTATTTCTAGGGCTGTCGATGAATCGCAGTTAACTCATGTGATTAACTCAAAAAATTAATCCCGAATAATCGCAGTTTTAATTTCAATTGAAAATTATTAATACAGGGCTCACTTCATATTATTTTTATTACAAATATTTGCACTGTAAAAATTATAAACAAAAATAGCATTTTTCAATTCACCTCATACAAGTACTGCAGTGCAATCTCTTTATTGTGAAAGTGCAACTTACAAATGTAGATTTTTTTTTTGTTACATAACTGCACTCAATAACAAAACAATGTAAAACTTTAGAGCCTACAAGTCCACTCAGTCCTACTTTTTGTTCAGCCGATCACTCGGACAAACAAGTTTTGGTTATATTTGCGGGAGATAGTGCGGGAGATAGTGCCCACTTCTAGTTTTACAATGTCACCTGAAAGTGAGAACAGGCATTAGCATAACATTGTTGTAGCCGGCGTCACAAGATATTTACATGCCAGATATGCTGAAGATTCATATGTCCCTTCATGCTTCAATCACCATTCCAGAGTACATGCATCCATGCAGATGACGAGTTCTGCTCGATAATGATCCAAAGCAGCACAGACCAGCACATGTTCATTTTCATAACCTGAGTCAGATGCCACCAACAGAAGGTTGATTTTCTTTTTTGGTGGTTCAGGTTCTATAGTTTCCACAATGGAGTGTTGCTCTTTTAAAACTTCTAAAATATGCTCCACATCTCGTCCCTCTCAGACTTCGGCTTTTTAAACCTACGGTCAATTGCAATAGCTATCTTTAGAAATCTAACATTGGTACCTTCTTTTCATTTTGTCAAATCTGCAGTGATAATGTTCTTAAAATGAACAACAACATGTTCTGGGTCATCATCCAAGACTGCTAAAACATGAAATATATGGCAGAATGTGGGTAAAACAGAGCAGGAGACATAGAATTCTCCCCCAGGGAGTTGAGTCACAAATTTAATTAAGGTTTCAGAGTAGCAGCCATGTTAGTCTGTATCCGCAAAAATAAAAGGAGTACTTGTGGCACCTTAGAGACTAACCAATTTATTTGAACATAAGCTTTCGTGAGCTACAGCTCACGTTTAATTTTTTTCGTGAGCATCGTCAGCATGGAAGCATGTCCTGTGGAATGGTGGCCAAAGCATGAAGGGGCATACAAATGTTTAACATATCTGGCAGGTAAATACCATGCAATGCCGGCTACAAAAGTGCCATGCGAACGCCTGTCTCACTTTCAGGTGACATTGTAAATAAGAAGAGGGCACCATTATCTCCTGTAAATGTAAACAAACTTGTTTGTCTTCACGACTGGATGAACAAGAATTAGGACTGAGTGGACTTGTAAGCACCAAATGTTTTTACATTGTTTTATTTTTGAATGCAGTTCCTTTTTTGCATAATTGTATATTTGTAAGTTCAACTTTCATGATAAAGAGATTGCACTACATACTTGTATTAGGTTAATTGAAAAATACTATTTATTTTGTTTTTTACAGTGCAAATATTTATAATAAAAATAAATAGAAAGTGAGCACTGTACATTTTCTATTCGGTGTTGTAATTGAAATCAATATATTTGAAAATGTAGAAAACATCAAAAAATATTTAAATAAATGGTATTCTATTATTTTTTAACAGCGCGCTTATTCACAATTAATGTTTTTTAATCACTTGACAGCCCTAATTATTTCTTTCTTGCTAATTTTTTTAGTTTGTTGCATTAAAAGTTATTTTATAGGTACTGCTGTTAACATAATGGTAGTAATTATACATAACTAAGCACTTTGTAGTAAGTCGTCACAAAATAAAGGCATTTCATTATCTTCCAAATTGTTTTTGGAGTTTCGTCCAAACAAATTTCTCATGAAACAGTACACCTTTTAAGAAACTGTTGAATTGCAGTTTTTTCCAACTTCTCAGGAGCTCTTTTGTTTAGAACACATGGTAGAAGAGTTGAAATGGCCATCCTGTTGCATCTGAAGATTTTTTGCTATCTCTTCTCTAATTTATAGCTCTAAACTAATTATTTTATCAAATAAATAAAATTCCACTTACCACATTGCCAAGATACTCTCTCACTTTCTTTGAGCCTGTTCATTGTCTTTAACCCCAATCCTTGCACAGCACAGTTGGGAGACAAACACTTGTGTTTTAAGGTACCAATTATACTATTTAAAATACAAGAAGGCCAAGTCCTCTTTGAATAGTCTGACCAGCAACGGCACATGCTAGTGTTCAGCTTGAGTTAGCTGTAGCCTGTCTCATGGAAGATATTAATTAATGGCTTTATACCTCCTAGCCATGAAATACAAATTATTTAAGCTTTCCTTTATGATAAGACACTTAAAATCATGTCTGTGGAATTTTGGCTGCTGGCATGGGAAGTTTTCGCTAAATAATATTAAATCATTCTGAGGTATATATTTGCTGTTTGTTTTCAGAGGAATTCCAGGGAAGAAATGTGGAACAATCATACTGACAGCAGAGGAGCTGAACTGTTGCAGGGTAAGTGAATGTTTGCACTGTTTCTTAAACAATTTGGTTTTTTGGTACTAATGTAACCTGATATTAGACCAGTTTTTTAAAGATACAGTTTACAATGGGGTAAAAGAAATAGGAACACAATTACCTTTTTATGAAATCCTAGAGCAATTCATTATTTATTGCTTCACTTAATTGTTCTTTTCAGTTACTATTAACCTGAATAGTAGAGAGAGAGGTGAAGAACAATTTGGAGCACAGCAAAGTTCATATTAAACCTACTCTTATTGTTCCCCAAATTAATCAATATGACCCTCCTCTTGGGGTATGTCTACACTACAAAATTAGGTCGATTTTATAAAAGTCAATTTTTAGAAAGGTTTCAGAGTAACAGCCGTGTTAGTCTGTATTCGCAAAAAGAAAAGGAGTACCTGTGGCACCTTAGAGACTAACCAATTTATTTGAGCATGAGCTTTCGTGAGCTACAGCTCACTTAGTCGGTGGTATGCATCCGATGAAGTGAGCTATAGCTCACGAAAGCTCATGCTCAAATAAATTGGTTAGTCTCTAAGGTGCCACAAGTACTCCTTTTAATTTTTAGAAACCGATTTTATGCAGTCATAGAATATCAGGGTTGGAAGGGACCTCAAGAAGTCATCTAGTCCAACCCCCTGCTCAAAGCAGGACCAATCCCCAACTAAATCATCCAGTCGATTGCGTATGTCCACACTTAGCGCATTAAATTGGTGGAGTGCATCCTCACTACCGTGGCTAGCATTGACTTACAGAGCGGTGTTCCTGCAGTCTCCGCTGCCTATTGGAATTCTGGGTTAAACTGCCAATGCCTGATGGGGCAAAAACATTGTCACGAGTGGTTTTGGGTACATGTCATCAGGCCTCCCTCTCTCCCTCCCTCCATGAAAATAACAGCAGACAATCGTTTTGTGCCTTTTTTCCTGGGTTACCCGTGCAGATGCCATACCACAGCAAGCATGGAGCCTGCTCACCTCACTGTCACTGTACGTCTCCTGGGTGCTGCTGGCAGACAAGGTACTGCATTGCTACACAGCAGCAGCTCCTTGCCTTTGCGGCAGATAGTGCAGTAGGACTGATAACCATCATATGTCTCCTGTGTGCTCCTGGCAGACCTCAGTGAGGTCGACGGGCGCCTGGACAGACATGGCTATTCTCCTCTTAGAGCACCGAATGGGAGACAGAGACTCCAGGTCATTCTCTTCTTTGATTTTCATCTCATGGAGATTGAGTCCTGCCTGGAATGTCATGCGAGCTGGAGGCTTCTGCCTCAGGCTGCTCTCCCAGCCGGCATCACCGCGTGGTTGCACCTACCGCAGCCTACCCCTTGCTCCCTTGGCTCATGAAGCCTGGACAGTAGTAAGGAGCAGTTCAACTATAGGCTGAGTAAGTGCAGAATGGTGGTAGAATGTGCCTTTGGATGTTTAAAAGCTCACTGGCGCTGTTGGCTGACTAGGTCAGACCTCAGCACAACCAACATTCCCATTGTTATTGTTGCTTGCTGTGTGCTCCATAATATCTGTGAGAGTAAGGGGGAGATGTTTATGGAGGGGTGGGAGGTTGAGGCAAATCCCCTGGCGTCCGATTTTGAGCAGCCAGACACCAGGGTAATTAGAAGAGCACAGCAAAGCATGCTGTGCATCTGAGAGGCTTTGAAAACCAGTTTCATGACTGGCCAGGCTTCAGTGTGACAGTTGTATGTATTTCTTCTTGATGCAAACCCACCCCCTTTGTTGATTTTAATTCCCTGTAAGCCAACCACCCCCCCACTTCGAAATAAAGTAACTATTTTTTTGAAACCATGCATTCTTTCTTCATTATTTTTTTTAAAAATGAGATAATAGACAAGGTAGCCCAGGTGGCGTGGGAAGGACAAGGCCACGTTGCTTATTGTAGCCACACTAAAAATCAAACTGTTTGAGTGACAGCCTTCTGTTGCTTGGGCCATCCTCTGGAGTGGAGTGGCTAGGTCCTGGAGCCTCCCCCCCACGTGAGGAGAGTATGGAACATGGGGAGGAGGATAGGTGGTTATACAGTGGATGCAGGGGGGGGTCTGTGCTCTTGTTGGCTTTCCTGCAGCTCCAACAGACGCCTCATCATATCCGTTTGCTCCCCCAACAGGTGCTGCTTCATGTCCGTTTGCTCCCCCATTAGCCTCAGCATCACGTCCTGCCTCCGCTCTTCGCACTCACTTAATTCTTTCCTGGCCTCTGCCACTGAATGCCTTCATGCATTAAGCTGTGCCCTATCAGTGCAGGAGGACTGCATGAGCTCGGAAAACATGTAATCATGAGTGCGGTTTTTTCGCCTTCTAGTCTATGATAACCTCAGGGATGGAGATGATAGGGAGAGCGTAGAAACAGTCTACGCTCTACGATTCTGGGGGAACTGCATGGTCACCTGTGCTGCTGAGTTTGCCACGCTGACCAAACAGGAAATGAAATTCAAAAGTTCCCTGGGCTTTTCCTGTGTACCTGACTAGTACATAGGAGTTCAAAGTGCTGTCCAGAGCGGTCACAATGGAGCACTCTGGGATAGCTCCTGGAGGCCAATACCGTCAATTTGCATCTGCACTACCCCAAATTTGACCCAGCAAGGTTGATTTTAGCGCTTTTCCCCTCGTCGGGGAGGAGTACAGAAGTCAATTTTAAGAGCCCTTTAGGTCGACGGAATGGGGTTGGTTATGTGGAAGCAATCATTTTTTTAATTGACCTAACACGGCTAAATTTGATCTAACCCCATCGTGTAGACCAGGCCTTAGTTTCTTAATCCCCAAATGCTAGTAAACTATGTGAGTTATGGGGTTATATGTCCATTATGAGATTTTTTTTTGAGAGAGAGAGAGAGAGAGAGACGTGAGTAGCAAGAACAGCAACAAGCAAAAGAAATCTTTGTAATTTTAGCTTTGTAATTCAAAGTTTGTCTGTTTTGTGCTTAATGTGTGGCTAAAACAGTTTAAAAAAAGTTTATTGGAATAAATAATATCTTGTATGAAAAGGAATAGCTCCAAAAGAGAGGCTAAATTTAAAAAGATTGTCCCAGCCCAGTGATACTCGTGAGCGTCTAAATGTGGAAAAGCTGTAGGGACCAGGGAAGGAAGGGGAGAGAGTGAGGAGAGATTATTGTTATGGATAACAAGGAATGATTGATTCCTGAAGGGAGTTCTGAGGAGATTGCTAAATAGAAGGATGGTGTTTACTGGAAAGAAAGTGAGATATTTTTCCAAGTGTAAGTGGTAACATAAGAGAAGATACAAAGTCAAGAAAGGAAAAACTAAGTGTAGGGATCAATAAAGCAAGGTATTTGGTAAAAAGCATAAGGAGCAAATAAGGAAGTAGAATGAAACTAGATGAAGACATAGGATGGAGTATGTAGAGGCTTGAAGGGATTTGTTAAGGGTTTTAATTTTTAGTAATTGCTAGTGTCATGCTGAATGTTTTATTTAACTGTTTTGACTTTTTTTACTGGGTAACAGTGTTTCTCACTTTTTTTCTCAATTTTTACAGTAGTAACTTGTTTGTATCTTTACTGATGTATCCAACATGCTATACCCTGAGAACTTACCATAATGCTTTTTTATGTTCTGTTTTCTGTTATTTAAAATATTTTATTAAGAACCCTAAATCCTGTGCCTTATTTCTAGTTTACTTAGGCTTGTATGTCCAATTGCAGAGTAGAAACTGTTTTAAATTGCATATTGTCCTAAAATGTAAATAATTATACAGACTATTCATTGCCTTTGGCAGCCCAATAGATTCCAAATATCGTGCCCTTCAGGGTACAGTGTAATGCCTAATTCTTCTTTGAGTGCTTTTTCATGTCCATTCCAATCAGGTGTGCGCGCACGCATGGTGACCAGAAGATTTTTCCCATAGCAGCATCTGTCGGGTTGGTGTGGGCACCCCCTGGAGTCCCGCCTTCATGGCGCTCAATATATAGCCCTGCCAACCCTCCACTCTTTCAGTTCCTTCTTATCGCTAGTGACGGTTGGCTGGAACGTCCCATAGTCCTTGCTTAGCAAGCACATTCTACTGTTCTTTGTATATAGTTTACCTTAGTTATTAGGAATTAGAGTTGTTGAGGGGTCCCCCCCATTTTGACTCCCCAGAGCTATGTTATGCTGCAGTCCCCAGGGTTTAAAAACTCTGTGGCCTGCTCAAAGCGCAGGCCAAAGAGCGATCTACACTCGTCATGCTAAACAGTGTCTAAGGGAGGGTCACCAAAAGGATCACTCTAAGATCTGCCATGAGTTCCGCCCTAGAACCCTTAAAGAAAGGGAACAGTGGCTTAAAGTGATCCTTGTGGAGGCAGCTGTATGCCCCCAATCGGACCCAGGCTCAGGGGACCTGGCTCCTAACATGTGCTCCTTGATGTGGAGCGCCCCAGCACCGTACTCCAGCTTAGTGCCGAGAAAAGACTTTACCGGGACGCTTGGCACTGGCACGGCACCTCCTGAGGTCCAGCGGAGAGCAGGCACCGATCCCACTCGCCGGTGCCTCAGAAGAAAAAGAAGCCAGACAGTCAATTGTCTCCGGCTAAATCCAGAGAAGTGAGACCTCAGACAGGCCACAGTTCCGGATCCCCTACTGGGCAGTCTCAACTCCTGCCCAGGCGAGGCAGTTGAGTCTAGGCTCCACATGGTCACTGGTCCCTATGGGCCCGCAGCTACAGCTCCCTTCGATGTTGGAAGCTTTTGAAGCTGCTTAGGACCTGCTGCATCTTACAGTGCCGTTCTCACACCCAAGGAGGGAGGAACCTTCAGCACTGGCGGTCCCACCCCACCTCCGGGTGCAGTCAAGAGGGAAGCCGGCAATGATGTCCAGGCACTCCCCCTCTCCATGTCCTTCGGCACTGGCCCACTCAGACAGAGAACCTACTCATTTCCCAAGCTCTCGACGCTCAAGACACTGAGGCTTGACTCCTCCGTGGTCTTCAGTCTGAGACCTCAGAGTCAGTCTGACTCCTACCAATCTAGGAGGAGTAGGAGGCGA